TCCGAAGGCCATCCTGGCTGAGCAAGAGCTGACCCCCTTCTTCCACGTCGACCATGGCGTCCCAGCAGGATGTCCTCAAGCACCGCTACTCGCCAAAGCAGTGCTGGCACCGGCCCTCATCCCATGGAAAGAGCAACATCCAACAGCTCATTTGTCCAGCTGGGTTGACGACGTAGGCTTTGATATGGAAGGAAGCACGGCACTTCAAGTGGCCCAACAGGCTGTTGCAGCCTACCGCGACCTCCACCAAAGGCTCACGGCAATCGGGCTCAAAGTAAATCCAAAGAAGACGGCCTTCATTGCAACAGATCGCAATACAGAGCACGCCCTCAAAGGACTTCTGCATGAGCGGATCAAGCTGCGATCCCTGAAGATTCCTGCGCTCAAAGTTCGCCTACGAATCCAACCAGTGGCCTTGTGGGGAGTCGAATCCCAAGGACTTGCGCCAAGATATCGCAACAAGTACATCAATCCAGCTGATCAAGTCATCCTGCACCACATCAAGGCCATGCACACTCTCTATCACACATGGCCACCGGAACAGATACCACATCTCCAGCAAGCATGGACTGAGCTCCACACACAACTCCAGGCCAAGCAGCACCCCTGGTATGTGGTCAAAGGCCCTATGGCTGCCACCATAGCCTACCTGCTGGAATGGCAATGGCAGGCTCAGGACCTCAATCGTTGGCACAGGTCTGGTCACTCTCTTCTGCTGGACAAGGAGATCACGCTCCAAGATCCTTGGTGGAAGCTAGAACGGATTTTGAAGCAGGAGGCCAAAGACCAGCGCATTTCCAGGCTGGCCGGAAAACCTCAGCATCAACACTTGGTGACAGGATTGGACTGGCACGTCTATCGGCAACTGATCAAAACCTTACCTGGTTTGTGCTCACTTGCGCACCTGGACGCAGGCAGCCTTGCACTACAAAGAAGATGGCAAAGCCAAAGAGTGCCCCATTTGCAAAGTCCCAGCAACAGTGAAGCACATATTGTGGCTGTGCAAATGGCATCACACCCAAAAGCACAAACCAATGCCGGCGGAGTGGGCTGAACGCATCCTGTCTGATGATGAAACACCTTTGTGGACTGTCGGCTGGATACCTCTGGAACCACAAGAAGCCAAAACCATTGCGCAACCCTACCACGGACATGGGGCATGGCAAGATCTACAGCAACTGGCTCCGCATCCACACCAAGGCTGGGCTTTCACGTTGGATGCCACACCATCCAGTTATGACCAGAGAGATCAACTTTGGATCTTCGGCCTCTGTGCCCACACCATGTCCTTGGGACATTTGCAAAGACTAGCAGCCATCACTGGAGCACCACCTGCACCACACAACAAAGCAAGGGCATTGATGGAAGGGCTAGTAGCTTTGGCAAAGCATACCACCACCCAGGTGCGAGTCATCGTCCAGTTGATCAGTGTGTGGGAAGCATGGACACAAGAAAGGCATCGAGGACCCTTCCTAGATCAGCTTGAGCAAATCACAGAACAGGACTACCAAAGAGTCACAGTGCTCTATGTGGCCAGGAATACCAAGTCCCCACAGGCACCTGGCAGTGAACCCCAACTACGACGCAGACAAAGGGATGCAGCTTTGACAGCATGGGAACGAGCAAAGACTTTCCAGAACAGCAGGAGCACAGACTGGCAGAAAGTCCTAGGTGAGGATCACAAGCTCATCTACCAACATGCCATCAACCGCCTGGCACAGATCGTCAACAACAAGGATCACTATATCCATCAGAAAAGCAATCGGCACCAGGCCAAGAACACAAAACAATACAAGAAGCAGCTCATTGCTCAATGCAAACAACCATGGCAAGCTCCTCATCACAGATGGATGCCCCACAGGAGTGGCTACCAGTGTGGAGCCTGTGGCCTTAGAGTGCACCAGGGCCTAACAGTGCAGGTGCTTGAAGAACATCTACAAGCTGACTGTTCCCAGCCTAGCCCTGAAGGCAGGCCACCTGAACCAGCACAAGACCATCAACCAATGCCGAAAAAACAGACCAGACAGCAGGTCATCAAGCAGATCCTGCAACAACAGCGGGACCAGACCCCAGCACGGCAACAGCATCAGCTTGAAGAGACCACTGGATATCTTCGCTGCCTCAAGTGTGGAGCCAATGTCCACAAACGCAGCAATGAGCAGATCTTTCAGGCCTTCGTACAGGACCAGCCCTATGAGGACTCCCATGGGGGCCACCGAAGTCATGTGCTTTGGCAAAAGGGCAACCGAGTCAATTGCACACAGTGTGGACTGAGTCTTCACTTGGATACGCACCAAAGACTCATCCTCACCACGGCTTTCAAAAAGCCCTGCAAAGGAGCGGGCAGCACTGGAACACCGCCTCTTGAAGAGTACTTCAACAAACAAGCTACACAGGATGTGCCACAGAGCCCTGAGGCCTCCACTAGTGATAGCCGCTCACCAAGCTTGCCTCCAACCGCAACTACCAAAGTCCGGCCAACACCCACACAGCCTCCACATCAGACTATAGCCAAAGTGCCTCCACACCAAGG